GCCTAACAGGCAGATAGCATGCAAGCGTGAGGCGCGCTCATGGCAGGCTATCAATCGGCCTACAGGCGACGAAGCATACTGACAGGCAATCAATCAATAACTTGAAATTCAAACTACAGTCAACCTTTGAGTCACCAGTCAATTATACCGGCGACTATTTCAGGAGATAATCTGATTGGCTCAAGGGACATCACTTACACGCGTTTGTTTCCTAAATACTTTGTACCTATTTTACAAGAAGACTTCTGCCGTTGCACCCTTCTTGTCGTGTTCTTCCTTTGGGGACTCACTTAAGGCGTTATTTGGCGGCGATATCTCGGTCTGGACTTCCGTTACAACAGGCAACACTCGCCATGCCGCACCACTACTAATACGGCGGCTTTTGATTTTTTTTAAAGAGAACCAGATTTGCCGAATTCTTAACTAGTCTGCTAAGTGTTATAGCCGCGACTGCTTGTTCTTCGCAGCCGAGAACCTGCTTATTTTGTAACCGATTTTTATGGCAGGTCGTTTCATCATCTGCCACTGTGGGTGCGCAAAAGAGCCTGGAGGCAGTGTAAAGAGAAGTTCCTACTGCCTAGAATTGGGTGCTTGGAGTTCGGGTAGACATTGGACAGGCGGGACGCCTCCAGTGTGCACTGTCTGCATGCAGTCGGCTACATCGAATAACACATAGTACTCCAATTTGGGGCCACATACACTGCAGGGAACGATTTTCAAGCCCGAAACGGGTGGTATTTTGGTAAGGGTGACATATACGGCTCCCTTAACCGAGCATGGGTACCCCAGGCAGTAAAAGTGTCTATGTGCCAAACTCCAGAACCCTCGGGTGCCATGCTAGAGTGTTGCACTCAATGACCAATCTCGGATGATTTACACCTGGGATTGGGTATTACTAGCTGATCACGCCTACCGTTTCCTCCCATTCCCTCTGCAAACCCTACTCTCTACTACCTGTCATTGACTGCACCATACTTACTTTTTACTTGTTACGGCTGCGATCATGACTGATATAGCCGGCCTCAATC